ATTTCGATCATAAAGTTAATGGTATTCTTACGATTATTTTCAATCTGTTTGTAGTTATATCTTCTTGTTTTTATCTAGATACTGTTCATTGGGGCCTTTTTTCCCTGGTTGGCCTTGCCACTGATTTCTCTGGCAGTATCCCTCCCCGGAGGTACGGCCTCCGGCTACTTGCTGCCACACCTACCCGAAATGCCTTTGCTCATTTACAGCTTGATACTCTGAAAGAAACCCATAGGTTTAGTAGTGCAGTTTTGCTACTCCTTCAACTTCTTTTCTTCTGTATTTTGTCCTTTTGCTAGGTTTCTTGTGCTGGTTACTACCTATAGTTTTCTTTATTGTACTGATTCATTTTTGTGTGAGCTATCATTTTGAGAAAGGGCACATGTTGAATTCATGACTCATTACGCATTCACAGAACATACGCTTGTAAGGGCCTCCTATGTACTGGGCATTACTGGAAATATTGAGAGTAAATGATGAAAAGAAATAGTTCCTACCAAATCAGATGACTTTTATACTGTAATAGAATAAAATAAATGACATTCGGTTTCTCTCATTCTATTTCAGTTATGTAATCAGATGGACTTTTTAAAGTTTTTGGACAAATAGATATTTTTACACAGTATTATAATAACTCTATTAACTGTTATATTTTGAACTCTATAATGGAAGACATCAAAGTATACAACCATGGCAAGAATACTGGGGCCTTTTATATTTGAGTTAAACTTTAAAAATGTCCTGCCCTCATAAACTGTTTCTGAAAGGAAATTTTCACCATTTTAAATGTATTAGAAACTGATGTCAACATTTCCATTCAAAACTACAGAATTCCTGACAATATTCTATGTGACAACTGCAGGAAGTGCACTTCTAGACTTTCAGAAAATAACTCCCAAATGAATGTAACATTCAAATGAAGTTTCTCTGGTTTACCTTCCTGGAATGAAACTTGTATATTTTTGCTCAAAAATCTATAATTTAATAGAGTAAGAGATAGCTGTTCACTATTCCCTAATAAAAACAACAGCTTTTGCAAGATAAGAAAAAAGGTCTAAAGTTCTGCAGGAAAAACAGGCTATCTTGCATCAGAATGAAGGGACCTAGAAACACATTCCAAACCCACTAAAATGCAACCTCATTGCTGAAAAACTTTTTAAAATTACAGTTGGACTGTGTATAACCATGTACAATATTGGCCCCAATGAGGAAAGAGTATTAATAAGAATGATGATAATATACACCTATATTGTGTTTACTAAGTGACAAGCACTGTTCTTATATATATAAATACAGATTAAGGTTCACGTTGTAAATTAAAGAAACAAAACAGGCAATCTTATCTTTTCCTGTTAAAATCCTATGGTTAGCAATCACTAAAGAAATATGAAGTCTCCAGGAAAAAGTGCATGGTATTGTCTAATTCTTTCCAAACATGTAAACAAAACAAAGGGGCAGTAGTTTTAGGATGCCTGAACTAAGCAAACCAGCGTAGGTTCTTTTTTGAAATATATAAAATCCTTCACACCTCATTATAGTATTTTTTTCAAGCATTGGGCTTGGCTGTAAGAAGATTAATCATTGGGGTCAGAAGTTAATCCATACGATGAAATGTTCCTCCAGGAAAAGCCCTGTTTGCAAACCAGCTAAGCTCAATCCTGATTACCTATCTATTAAAACTTTACATTATGACAAAGGAATTGAAGACACACACTGAAACTGGTTGACTGATTTTTGGCTTCCTCTCTGATTAGCCATTTAGAGGCCACAAAGGGACAGGAACACTAGTAGTTTGTTTCCCCAGTTTTTCTATGGAGTTTGTTATGGAGCTTGTTGGATTTAACAATGATGGGAAGTTGTAGTCATGTCCCATTATTTAGGAATAAAGACAGGAATCTATCTTTGACTAGATTTAGTTCTGACTCTTCAACTGGTACAGAGGGTAAGGCTAGTTAAATTAAGACCTTTCCCACAGTTACTTATATTGTGAAAACTTATTCAAAGAGCACATTAATATAACCTTTCAAAATCACAGAAGATCTTCACTTATGCAGTAAGTCGGTGGGTTTTGGATAATGAAAATCTGGGATAACTCAAACCATACAAATTTTACTTCTTGCCTTGCCTTCTCCATTAGAATATACACATTGGAAATCCAAGTTCCAAACATTTCCTCTACTGAAGACAGCGAGACTCAGTGTGAGCCATCTAGGTACAACTATTTGAGTGTCTGTAGAACACTGACCCTTGATGATGGGAGAGATTTTAATTTAAAAAATATAATTATATTTAAAAAACCCTAAATTGACCCAATTAATTTTCAAAATAATAGTTGATCCATGTTTTCAGTTTATTGCCACACACAAAACATTTTATAAAATAATATGGTAGACTTCTACTTCAACATCTTCATGTAAAAACTTCACAGTGCAAGAAAGTGATCACTATTAAGTATGAAGACATCTAAAGCCAGCCAGCATTTTAAGGATAGGGCAGAGTATTTTGCGAATCTTCTTAAAAAATGTTGGCACATTTATTAAATGCCCAGGTTATTAAAAAAAGTCACTCAGTATCCACTTCTTATCCTTCTGTATACTTCTATATCTACATGGCATCACACTAAATGCTGGTGGACAAAACAGTGTAAGAATCTAAAAACTTACCAGGTAGCACAATGATTTGAAACCATTGAGGAGAATGCTACCCCCCCAATATTTTTGTATGTAATTTTCTGTCCATTACCACATAACAAAGTAAGAAAGCTGTTATACCTTAAAAAGAAGCTGAAGGAACACATTTCACTTTTGCTTTAAAAACATCATTTCTTAACTCATAAACAGAGAAAAACTGTAATTTGGGGGGGAGAGGGGAAGTGTTTCATAAGTAAAACATCAAGTTTATGTCAGTTGTACAAATGTCTCATTTAGGAAAGAAAGTATTGATTCAAAGGATTATAAAATATTTCATCATTACCAAAAAAGTGTAATTTAAAGCTAAAAAACTGCAATCCTTGAATTAATCTAAATCATCCACTAGCATATCCTATTATTTTTCATAAAATCCATAATTAAGGAATGATAGATTGGGTAAAAGATCTCTTTTTCCAGACATTTGGTCAAATTACCTAAGAAGCCCTGGGCAAACCACACACCCTGAGTCTCAGGACTATCACCTCTCACATGAGGATCCTGGACTAACTGTCCTTTTCCATCCCTTCTGATTTACAAATTTATATAGAATTATTAAACTTACGTAATCCTTTTGAGAATGAGGTGTTTCAACCCAATGCATTTTCCAGATAAAATTCCCGCATTTAAGTAGTAAAGCTGTTCTTTAAATATTTAGAATCTTACTTTAAAATTTATTTTCAGTATATTTCCCTGTCACCTTAAAAGCTGAGGTATGACTAACAGCATAGTCTCCTAACTTCACGGTCTCCCAGACTCAGCGGCTGACAGCGATCGGCAGAGACAGCTCAGGCCCTGACTCCAATTCTGTACAGCTTTAGGCCACACTTTGAGTCTCAAAACAAGGATGATACCACCTGCTCTGTATCTGTTATAAAGCCCAATAGAGTTATCATATTATACCAAAGTATTTGTAAGCTACAAATCACCATATGAATGCAAAGAATTGTTGAAAAGCCCTAGTTGAAATTTTCCTGATAACAAAGTCTAGATATTTCTTATAAAATATATGTTCTTCATCAATACTTGTGCACTCACGGTTCTGATTCTTCGGTTACCTGAGTGTTCTCATGTAGTCAATTTGTCTCCTGCTTTTGCAGCAGGGCTGAGAGTGCTGGTCTCTCCTGGAGTCTAGAAGCCTGACCTTGCAATAAGTGAAAATCAAAACCTAAAGATCTCTCTTACTTTAGCAAATGTGGTATCATGACTTACTTTAAAAGAGTGGTTTCCTAACTAGGTGGGGCATCAGATTCACCTGGGAAGCATTCTAAAAATTGAGATTTCTGGGCTCCAGCCATGGAGAATCTGATTCTCTGTGTCTGGAGTAAGACTGAGAAAAATTCTGTCTCTCAAAAGCTCCCCCAGGTAATCTCAATAATCGATAGTTCAATTTTGTGGACTCACTGCTTTGACCTTAATTTCTTCTCTAGAATTTTAGCAGCTGCTGGTTTGTTTTTAGTATAAAAATCTCCCCCTGGATTAATCACAAGCACATTCAGAGTAGATTGCCTACAATCTTGGCTTAGCTCCACAGGGAACCTATTACAATGCTCTGCAGTGAAATTAAAAAATGAAAAATCAACTTCAGAGTGAATATGATGCATGTAGACGCTGAAAGGTGGCTGGTGCTATGTTTACAGGGCAAATGTTTTCCGCTTTACTTCTCTACTTAGTCACTGGTACATCCGAAGACCATCGTATTACAGTTGTCATTACACATTAATAAAGGATGGCAGAATTCCAAAGGACAGGTGGATGGCTAACTAGCTAATCAGGATCATTAAGAAAAGGTTTCTAACACACATAAATGAAAAGTTTTTTAAAAACCACAGAGCTTTCTGTAGAAACCCAAAGAGTTCCATGCTTCTGAAGTCTACCATAAAGAAGAAAGTTGACCCAAACTACAGTTGTTTAAAAATATGTTCAATTAACTGTGAAAATATAAGTGCAAAATAGGTACAATTTCATCTTTTAGGAAGTTTAACAGACATAAATGGAATTCACTTTCCATTTATTCTACCCAAATAGTTAATTTTGAAAATAACATGGGAAGTATTTGGTATAATGTAGTTCTGAACGTCACCCCTTCCAAATTTAATACAAAAGCCACATTTGGATTTTCCAGATGTCCCAAGTGTATCTAGGCACTGCGAAATGTTGTCATGTCTTTTGGTTCTCTGCTGGGGACACACCAGTCATCGGCCTCATGGTTAGTGTTGTAATGCTTCCAGGCAGCTTTGTTATATACTGGGAGTCTCTCTATCGATTCTGTTGACAGAGCCTGAAAGAAAAAGTGGGACCTAAGTCTAAAGGTTACTCGAAATTAAAGAGTGCTTTATTGGATTTGTATTTTACTAATCATTCACATCATCTACATACATTTTGAAACAGTGTACATATTTGCAATGCATTATTTACTAAGTGTACGGCACTGCGTGGTATGCACATTGATTTTTTTTTTGTTTGCAGTAATTGTCCAACCAGCCTGGAAGCTGCTGGATTGAAATTTTACACAGGTGTAGGAGATGTGTCTTATAAAAACATGACCCAGAACAGAAGTTGGTTAACTGAAAAAGTCATTTAAGTGTAAAAGCATAAAAACTGACATATGCACCGTAATATACATAATTGTAAAATCATTTCATGAAATCTATTTCAATTATTTGTTAGAAGAAATAATATTTTTTCCAGCATAGTCATGGACTTAAAAAAGTCATCATAATAATATTATCAATAAACACAAAACTATGTCTAAGGCTTTTGATTGAAAAATTCTTGGCCTTGGGTTTGATCCTGTGTCTGCTCCTGCTATTAGAGCCACCAATTTCAGGTATAGTGGATGGGATATCTGCATTGTGCATCGTTTCATGTTTCTAACGTATCATTACCATTGATTCACTGTTCTATTTCAGCTTCCTGCAAATCGCTGGGACCTGAGATAAACCATGTTCCTCCCTATCTTCTTCAAGTTAAGATATTTCAGTAGGATTCTGACCTTAAGCCACGGGTATTCCCCAAGATGTAGAAAATACTGAACAGGAAATTTCATTCCGATAATGGTAAGGAAAGTCTTTGACATTGATTTTAATGATTTTTTTTTTTTTTTAAGTAGGCTTCACACCCAGCGTGGAACCCAATGGGGGCTTGAACTCATGACCTGAAGATCAAGACCTGAGCTGGTATCAAGAGTCAGACGCTTAACTGATTGAGCCATTCAGGAGGCCCCTGATTTTAATGATTTTATAAGATTCCTGTCTTCTATTTTTTCCAAAGTGGATTAAAAACCTTTCACCTGTGTATTCTCTTTATGCCAGAACTGCCAGAACCCCTTGATCAATGGGCTAGATAAAAAATGTTACATTTGGTGATAAAAATGTTACCTTCATGTTGCCCTTTTCAAGTTACTCACAATTGAGATGGCTTAAAAGAAAAGGATTATTATCTTGAAAGAATTTAACCTTTTCGGATAAACTTATTTTTTCCATTATACAGTCTTCACCATTTCCTATAAAATAGGTGCCATCTAGTGGCCAGAACAAGAAACTTGAGTCACTAAATTAGGTACCAACAGCCCACTGCTTAACCAATCCAGTGGGCTGATGGGGTTCGGTTGCTCTCGAACACTGTAAAATATGCTGAACTCTGATAAACACAGGGAACATCACAGGCCAGCAGGCAAAGTGCTTCTGCTCCCACCAGGTGAGCTATAGGCTTGCCAAGAGTCCCCTGTGCTTGTTCCCAAATCTGTTTATGCACTTAACATCTGTCATTATAATTATATAATTTAATCAAGTATTGCTTAAACAAAATGAAAAAAAAAAAAAAAGGAGGGGGTCAGGGGAGGTTCTTTGAAAACCAAGATGAATGCTTTGGAAAGACTCCTGAAGGAAAGTCACATGAAGATTGCTGTCAAATCTGAGTCAGAAGACATCTATAAAGGACTACCTATAAATCAAAAAAGATTATGCAGTTGGTTGTTTCTTTAAATAAATCAAAACAATGCGTTGTTAAGTATAGCTTCTGCAGGAAAGACAACTGAAACTTGAATCTGGAGACTCATGTACAAAGAAAAGACCCTGCAGTACATCAAAAGATTGGGGGATCAATGGCCATTTGTGTGTTTTATATTAAAATTAAATTTGTGTGGTATGTAACTTATGATTCCCCACTTCAGCCCGACTTTTTTTCTGTTAACAATCATAGTCCTGATCATTACAGGTGAGAGTGTGCCCCTTCCCCCAGTCAAGGAGATCATTTGTGAAAATAGATGAGATCATATGTAAAAACCATATTCTTATATTTTAATAGTGATGAGGTAGAAGAAAATTTCATTACAGCTAGACATTGGCACCTTTTCTTATAACCAAAAAAAGTATCATTAAATCAAAAAGACTACAGTTATTACCTTAATGTAGATGATTGCATCTGTCCCATAGCCCTCTAAAGAATATAGCTTTAGGTCTCCTTGGAAGTATTGGGCATAAAGACGTGATATGGGCAATCCATAGCCAAAACCAGCCTGTTTGATGAGAAAAGTGAAATTCTACTCAGAAAGCCACACAGTGAAATACTTTTCTAGTTAAAATAAATGCTTCTGAGTATCCTAGGGCTATCAGAGCCTGCATCTAAGAGATCGTTAATACCTAACCACTAATACGGATCAAGCTGAAGCCAAGCTGGGGTACTACATTAGATGACTCCCCTCTGGTCATTTAAAACTCATTTTTCTTTTTTCTATAAAATGACTCATGTATATCTAGAACAGCACGTTGCTTTTCTTTGCTGCCTTGCTCTAGGGTATCCCAATACTGCTTTTGGCATTATCACATAAAACATGTTCTCTCTTTTAGGAGCAAGAGTAGAAAAAGCTTTGTTGGCAGTCTCAGAGCTACATCCCTTGACTTCATACCATGAATTTCCAGCCTGTGTTCTGAACCTGGATAGATCAGTAGTAAGTCCACTTTGTTACTGACAAATTACTACCCTGTTTAAAAACCTACAAAGCACATCACCATTAATACCATGCCCAACCTACCTACCATCCCCAACCCATTGCCCTGAGATAAAAATTCAAGCTTCTAAAAAGAACTTTCAAGACTTCATCAGATCAGGTCTCTGCCTCCCACTTTCTAGTCCAGCTGGACCAAATCGCCAGCTCTTAAGTTCCTCAAACAAATGTTATTTTTCATTTCTGTGTCTTTGTTCATCCTGTTTCCAGAACCCTGAATGGCCTTCTTTACTAAATAAATCCTACAACTTCTTTAATACAAAGCAAAACATTTGGACAAGTACGAAAACAGTTTTTACCACTAAGCCAGACGTTCTATGATACTACATATAACACTTCAGTTAAGAGCTTATGTGGACTCAGGAATCAGAGTGCTATTTATAAATGCAGGCTTTGGCTTCATCTACCTCTGCTGTTTATTACTTGGCTTTTCTAATCAGAGTTTCTGTTTACCCCTCCAAATCAACTATCCATTCTCCACGTGACTCCTTGCCCTGGGAGGATGCTATCAACAGATTCCCCTGCCCTCTGCTTCTAGTGGGTCCAGCCAATGGGGAACCCCATAGGAGTTCAGAGGGAGTCAAGTCAGGGTATTCATTCCCCCGTTTCATTCCCGCTGAGGTTTACTTCCCTTGGGGTTAGACCACTTGAGTATAAGGGGCTGCTCTGTTACAGTCCCTTCTGGGTTCTGCTAACTTCTTCTCCCTTTGATTCGGGGTGGTGACAGCTCTCCTGCTGCCATCCCTGGATCCCTGTCCTATCCCTGCCCACAGCTCTGTAATTTAAACATCCCAACCCTCCCTTACTTCTTAGAGTAAAATCAGAATCTAAGAAGGTGCTCATGGTTATTATTTGACCGTGTCTGCCTGTTGGTGCATGGATGCATATCTACCTCAATTTGAGTGACACGGTCCTGGTGTAATCTAAATTTTAAAAGTATGATAAGACTTGAACTAGATTACAGTTCTAGTTACAGAATCTGTGCTGTGTAACAGGTACAACTCTAAGTCCTTCTAGTAACTTCTTAGGAAGAATCTAAAATAGATCAATCTATTTTATATTCTTATTCATACTGCATTTATACTGTATTTCATCATGTTATAGTGTAACTCCAGCACCTACGCCAGAGAAGTTTCAAAGTCCGAAGAGTAGTTCCCCCTAAGTTACAGGTCAGAGATTTGGCAAAGTGCTTTTCTAGGGCTTAGAGGGCAAGGATGGAGTGAATTCAAAAGCTGATCACATGAAACCTGAAAACAGGTGACTGCGATCAATAAAAAATACCACCACAACAAATATAATTTGAGCCTTTTCCAGGTTGGCAATTAAGCGATCAGAACTCTAGTCTTTTTTCTGGGTCTAGATTATGAAATTTTTCTAATTACAAGTACTTGAGGGGAAAAAAAAATCAACACTGAGGATTCAACCAGTGTTGACCAAAAATGCTGGCAAAACCAGTAACTTAGTCTTCATGTTAGACATAGTAAATCAAAATGTGGTTAACTGCATCAAACTACTGGCATATCACTATCAGGCTTGACAACAGGAACTGTGAAACAATACTCCCTGTCTTGTGCTCTTTTCAATCAAAAGAAGAAATGAGCCAAAGGCTGTTTAAATTCAGAGGAAAGTGTTTTTTCTAATAGCTTCCTTTCTCCCTCACGGGTACCTTACGCAACTGCTGAACTGCTTTATTTGGTATTCATTTGATTTTTTTTTTTTTTTTTTTTTTTGGCAACTCACAGAAACACACTCAATTCTCTCTTTCTTCTTTTTTTACACTTTGTTATTTCTTGATCACATACCAGGGGCACGGCTCGGGATGTCTCAACACGAGGCCGGGGTGCAGTTGAGTACATGTAGTTGAAGAGTCTGTCAATTTTCCTCAAAGGAACACCACCTCCTCGGTCACTCATCTAAGGTGAGAAAGGATCATGCCTAATGACCAAGTCCCATACACAGCAAAACACCAACACACACTCAGTGTCACAGTTTAACTTATTGCTTGCCTGCCTGCCTCCCTCCCTCCAAGATTTTTTAAATTTATTTATTTGAGAGGGAGAGAAGCATGCAGGCACAAGCAGAGGCAGGGGCAGAAGCAGAGGGAGACAGACAAGCAGACTCCCCACTAAGTGTGGAGTCCCAGGTGGGACTTGATCCCACGACCCTGAGACCATGACCTGAGCCGAAGTCAGCCGCTTAACAGACTGAGCCCCCCTGGTGCCCAAGGAAAGTACTGCTTTTCAAAACCAGTACCATGCAATCCAAGTTGTGAGTGTAAACATTTTCTTCACTGGTAGGCTTCTTCAAACTCCTCCAATATGGACAATTCTAACACATAATAAGCTCCATCATAATACAGAGTCAGTGCTATGGCTCTGTGTATTCACTGGTTGTATACGAACGGTGCAGTGAGCACAGAATGGGGCATAAACTAAGTCTATCTTGGATGTAAACTCATTTCTCTGGTGCGCGGTTTGGCAGTCAGATTCAAAATGCATGAACCCTTTGACCCAATGGTGTTTATCCTAAAAAAATAATCAAAGAAGTATGCAAAGTATGTCTGAGAATATCCATCACAGCACTACGTAGAATAGCTAAAACTGGATTATAACCTAAATAAGGGACTATTTAAGTAAACTAATGCACATTCTAAAATAGAAAACTATTAAGCCATGAAATATTATGTAGAACTGTAGGTACCGGCAGGAGAGAGGTCCACACAATATTGTTCAGCAGCACAGACCCCCAGACAACTTTCTGCTGAGTTTACAAAGTACACTGGTCTTTGTACTGTTCTAATGTCATTTCTCAACTCAAATCATATGGTGGGTTGAACTTAGTAATTTATTTACAGACTATTTTCATTCTGTTTTCCTCTACAGTTAACGTGGCCTTGTTTTAATTATTATACAGTTCACATTCTCATCTACTACAGCCATTTTCCTTTGTCACAAAATCTAAGTTGATTCTATTATCTGTAACATTAATATACAAACTAATCTGCTTTAATGTGTGTGTGCGTGCGTGTGGTATACATATATATGAATGAATGAATAAATTGGTAGATGGCTAGATAGTGTTGAATGATTAAAAAGCCAATAGGCTGGGGGTGTCTGGCTGCCTTAATTGGTAGAGCAACCAACTCTTGATCTCGGGGTCATGAATTTGAGCCCCATGTTGGGCGTAGAGACTACTTAAAAAAATGAAATAAAAAATCAAAGACTTGGGGCGCCTGGGTGGCTCAGTTGGTTAAGCGACTGCCTTCGGCTCAGGTCATGATCCTGGAGTCCCGGGATCGAGTCCCGCATCGGGCTCCCTGCTCGGCAGGGAGTCTGCTTCTCCCTCTGACCCTCCTCCCTCTCGTGCTCTCTGTCTCTCATTCTCTCTGTCTCAAATAAATAAATAAAATCTTAAAAAAAAAAAAAAATCAAAGACTTGATCACAAATAAGTTTAAAAGAGCATTATTTAAAAAAAGGTCAACAGGCTGGATGGCTTATCATTGAGTTTTTATATGATCTTTTTTCTTTTTTTTTTAAGATTTTTAAAATTTATTTGAGAGAGAGAGAAACAGCATGAGAAGGGAGAGGGTCAGAGGGAGAAACAGGCTCTCTGCTGAGCCAGGAGCCCGATGCGGGACTCGATCCCAGAATTCCGGGATCATGACCCGGGCCGAAGGCAGTCGCCCAACCAACTGAGCCACCCAGGTCTTTAAATATCTTTACAATATGCATGTGTATTACTTTCATAATGAAAATGACATAGATGAAGTACCACTTGATGGCTTGCCTCGGATACATCCACAATTAGAAAATTACAGTATAAAAATATAAAAGACTTTAATCAGAACTTGTACGTAAGCACGCTTGAAATTGTTCTTGGCTATGAATTCAAAGTCCAGTGAAGAGATTTATTTTCGTAAGACTAATAAAGAGCTCTGGGTATTTTCTGAGATCCATCAATTTGTTAATTATTCATCCTTTAATATTCTGCTGCACATTTACTGGTAACATGAGTAAGAAGTGTGGGTGTTCTATAAATATTACGTAAACAATATATTAGAATAGATATTAAGATAAAAAGGTAGACTTCAATAAATATTTCCTGGTTTTCCTTAACCATCGGCCAGAAAGACGACAGCAATCTTGTATGAAACAAGAAGTAATTTCTAGCTAGAGGCCAGTATTAGAAAAGCAGAGAGCTGAGCAGAAAGGACAGAGGTGACTTTGAGAAGTGTCCTTTTATGAGAGGTGAAGGGGGTAAACTAACCCTAAGAATGTAGTTAAAAACGGATAAAAGTAACCTCCTCTGCTTTGCAGCCAAAAACACAATAAACTGGAACGAGTAGATTTTTAAAGTGGTCGAAAGAGTTTCCAAGGGAATTTTAACAGATGATATTATGCCTGAGGATTTGAGTTCTTTGGAAAAATGGGAGGAGGGATTAATGGGAGAGAGGGACAGATAGTTGGTCTGTACATATTTAAGAAGAATGACAGTCTGATGACAAATATGTTGAGAAACATATGTGAAAATTAAACAAAAATATTTCTGATTAAGATAATTTGAAGAAAAAATCTAGAAGCATCAGAAGAAGCCTATGCCAAGGAAATGTGAAGAGATGAAAGAGATGGGTGGTGTGGAATAATGTCAACAGCAAGGCTGAGAAAGAGAAGTTTGCCAATTATTTTTAAAGTTTTCTCTTTAGTGTATGAAATCACCACCTCTCAAGGTCATCTAACCAAGAGTTGCCATCCCTAACTTCCTGTTCCCCATAATAATGGCCTCCCTGGGCTAATGTGTGTGAATTTCAGGTCCAAGGGAAATGAACCACTAACTTGTTGACAGTTCTCAAGGTAGGAGATTTACTAACCCTGAACTCAACCCAGAGCTCCTGAAGTCTCAATGTCAAGTTTGTAAAATCACCAACAGGGAATGAACCAAGACATTTACATTTTAAAAGACATGTGGCTATAACATTTATGTTATTTACTGAATATAGCACAAACACCAAATCTAAAAGAGTAGTGGGAGTCATCGGCCAGAAAAAAACAACTCTCTCACAGGATTCTTAGCAGAGGGAAAAAGGGAGGAAAATGTCAAAAATCTGAAAAAGCTAAAAGAATGGGAAGAAAGACTATATAAAGACTATTTAAAAACTCAACTATATGCCACCCTGTTGACTTTTTAATACATATCATTCAGCACTAGTTTTCTCTCTACGTATCTATAGACAGAGGTTAAAAGCAAACCTTGATCCTGAAAATCTAGTACTAGTGATGGGGATGAAAACTCTACTGAAGAAAATTAAAGCAAGCATTTAACAAGAGCAGATTCAGTCATGTGACCTCAGATGTGTGGAGGAAGATCAATATATGGAGGCAGAGCCTAATACAGGTAGGGCTTTCACAGGGGCTTCGAGAACAGTCTGTTCCAGACCCTTATGAGCCTTTCTTTTTTTTTTTAAGTACCTTCATTGAAGTAATTCATGTACCATAAAATGCACATATTTAAAGTATGAAACTCGATGGTTTTTAATATATTCATAGATAGGTAAATTTTAGAAATTTTTATTACTTCAAAAAGAAACCCTGGACTCTTTATTGGTCAGACCCCTAAGCAACCATTTATCTGTTTCTTGTCCCTATACATTTGCCAATTCTGGACATTTCATATAAATAGAACTGTATGATATGTGGCTTTTTGTGATTGGTTTCTTTCACTTAGTGTAATCTTTTTAGTGTTGTGGCAGCCATGTTGTAGCAGGTACCCATACTTCATTTCCTTTCATGGCCCAACAATATTCCATTAGATGGCTATACCATATTTTATTGATCTCTTCATCAGTTGATGGACATTTCAGCCTTTCCAGTTTTCGGCTATTATGAATAATGCCTCTATGAACCTTCATGTATAAATTTTTGCTTGAGTATCTGTTCTAATTCCTTTGGGGTATATACCTAGGAATGGAACTGCTGGGTCATTATGAAACTTTCTTGAACTAAAGAGACAGATTCCCCAAACAAAGCCTGTCCACCAGCACAGGCCAAGTCTCTGCTAAGTGTCTAAGAATTTGGTGAATCTTGATCCATGCTGTGATGGATGACCACAAGTAAAAGAAAACAGCTACAGACCGACATGCAAAAATCACATGAAAGACAAAACAGGAAAAGGTTATGAGAAAGACCATGCTGTAGCACAACTGAGGTCCCAAAGCAGAAGACATGTGGGATTTATTTTGAATCAAGTAAACCTTAACGAGCAAGCAGCTGACACATAACTAACGAAAAAATAGACACACATTAGCATCTGGGCTGAAAAAAAGTGATGCAGTCACATTACTTTTTTAGCAAACAGATGGTATTTGCCATATATTTATTTGTGCATCACTCTTTTTAAATGAACAGCCAAGAGAGATAAACAGAAAAAAGAAACTCAGAGGAAACAGTGTAGAGAGTTAACGCATATTCATTTTTTTTAAAAAACAGCTATTATTATCCTCAGAGTGATAAAAGAAGATAAAACTAAACAGAATACTATAAAAAAGGAATAATAAAAAATAGAAAGTTCCTGGAAATTTATAAGATATAGAAATGAAAATTCAATAGAAGAGTTGGGAATTCAAAGTTGAGGGCATCTCACAGAGTAGAATGAAAAGTTTATAGAGATAAAAAGCAAGAGAAGAAAGATATGAAAAATCAGAGGATCAATTCATGAAGTCCAACATCCTCCAAATAGGACTATCAGAAAATGAAGCAGTAGGGAAGAAAGTACCAAGGACACAGTGGAAATTCTAAAGGGCCCAGCTCAATGAGTAAGAAAAGACCCACACCAAGTCACATCATTATGAAATTTCAGAACAGAGCTGAAGAAAAGATCTTAAAGGCTTTAGTTAAAAGAGACAAAACAACAAAACCT